TTACCGAGTGCTTCATTTTTCAACCACCATATGAATACACCCCTGGTTTCTGTATTTGCATATGCCTCGTTGTATTCTTAAGCAATCTTTTTTTTTTAATGTCATCTTGGGAAGAATAAAATATCAGCAGTAAATCTCTTTGTTACGATTTGGATTAAATGTGCTAAAGACTGACTGACGATTCCTTTCTTCTGCCTTTTGACTATAATACCAGAGTGTGCTTAGGTGATTTAAAAATGCAAATACACGTACTTCTGTTTAACTGTGTAAGGTTGACTGCCTTTATAAGCCAGATTCGAGAAAACCAGCTTAGGCAGAAGATTTTTAGATTAAATCCTCTATAAATGCATGTCCATTTAGAAGCTAAATTAACAAAACTCTCCTCATCGACTTCCCAAGTTTTCTCTTGCATGCCATGGTAGCTAGAAAAGCCACTAGTCGTACAGTCTGCATCTTTGATATAAAGTTAGAAATAAAACTCACATGTACTTATTCTTCTACGTAGTGTCTCTCCTTGCAGTCAAAACAGAGCCTTTGAACAGCAGTGAAACCACAACCACGACTGGAGATGGAGCGCTTGACACTTTTACTGGGTCAGGTAAAGCCTTAAGCTTGTGTGTTGTTCTGTACGCATTGGGGTCCACCTCATCCTCCTGGTGAATAAGCGAGAATTGGATTTTTATAAATTCAGCAATAAATTCACTTTTTGGAAAACTCATTGTCATAAAATTATGCTTTTTTTAGAAATGATGTTTAGAATAGTTTTGCTGAATCTGCAGTTGACAGCAAAGCAATCCCCTGACTTTCTTATTAGAAATAAGCAGAACTGACTTCTTTCATAATTATTTTATACAGTGCTTAATTTATTTATTAGGTTGTAATTGTTAACTTTGTTCCTTCAACTTACCCATTTAAATGACATAAAAACTGCCTTCTCTCCAACATTCGAGATGTAAAACTATCCATTTGATTCTTTCTAAATAACCTTGTTTCCTCTCTGGGTTTTAAAAAAAAAACCTTCCTGTGTAAGCAGCTGAGTGACAGGTATTAAAGGTTAATGGGCTGCAGGAGAGCACATGCTGGTCGCATTAGAACCCAGCCTCTGAGAGCACGACTTTCGCTCAAATGCTTCAAAGAGAACAATAGCGTGTCTTTAAACATCAGTCCTCTTTAAATATAAATACCTGATAACTCCCAGGTGGGCAAAAGGACAGGCAATAAGTTGACTTAAAGATTTTTTTTCATTACTATATTTCGTTTGGTTGATTATCTGGTGAAAGGACGTTTTTTTTTAACCTGAGGAGGAATTTGTATAGCAGAAAGATGAACATTAAACCTAGAAAAGTATTTGTGATAATTAAATCTTGGTTCTGTTATTCTACTCTAATATATTTTATACTTATTCATGTTCTCATATACAAGGATTTTGTGTGGGTATGCTTCTCATGTAAAAAGAGCTGAGGTAAATCCTTGACTATAATGTCATTATAGCATATATTTGATTTTTATAGATACAGATGATCCCGTTTCATTGGTTCACACTGATTGGAAGCAGCTGCCATGTATTCACTTAAATATTAGTACTCCAAACAGAAAGATATAATAATTTATACACTTCGTATAGAGAAGCATGTGTCCTAATTCACATCCTTTCTAGCAATTCTCTTGCCTCTTAGCAGATAAATAGGCACCAACTTACCCTAGCATTTATATTACTTACCATAACTGTTGTAAACTTTCTGCAAAGTAAATGCATATATGAACACAGTTTTTAAGGATAGGAATGAAATTAAGTGATTGCTGATATACTTAAATAGTACACTACAAGTCAGTGAAAGATGAATGAAAAAATTATGGGATGTTAGCTCCAGAAGGAATTTCAGAGATCTGTGATGATCCGTTTTATAGGCAAGAATACGGAGGCACAGAGTTAAGTTAAAGGTGGTTAAGGCCATACAGTCAAGGCCTCACAGGTGGTCGCTGGTAAAAATGATTCTAGAATAATGTCCTGGTCAGTCCAACAATCTTTTCTTTAATACCCCACTGGAAAATATAAAGATGGAAAAAGAAGCAGGTGTGAACTGTCAAGCTGTCTGGAATCTACTCATATTATATTTACAAATAGTTTCCCAGTTTTCTTTTAAGAATTATCTAGGGCTATGCTGTCCAGAAAAGTAGCCACTGGCCATATGTGGCTATTTAAGTCTAAATTAAATACTATTTGGTAAAGCAAAAATTTTTTATCTAGTCACATTAATTACATTTTAAGTGTTTAATAGTTGTATGTGGGTTTTTTTAGTGGCTACCATAATGGACAACTCAGATATAGAACATTTCCAACGCCATGGACCAAGTTCAATTAGACAGAGTGCTTTAGGTCAGGGATTCTCAACAGCACCACTATTAAAAACTTGGCTAATTTTTTTTATTGTGGGAGAGCTGTCCTCTGCACTGTAAGGTGTTTAGCAGCATCCCTGGCATCTATCCCAAGTTAACAGTAGCTTTCCTCAGTTGTGACAACCAAAGATGTCTTCTAGCATTTTAAATGTTCCCTGGCAGGCAAAATTTCCACCCATCCCCCAACTTCATCTCCCACCTCTCATCCCATTGAGAGTCACTAATCTAAGGTGTTACAGTAATACCGGTAAAACCTTAAAACTGCTTGACACCACCCTATGAGAATCTGATAATATTCATTAAAAATGTGTTTTAATTAATTTTCAGGGCATTTTGAAGACAAGCACTTTTGCTAACTTTTGTATGCAGAAATGATGGAGTATAATGAGTTGAGTGCTTTGCATACATCTCTTGATTAATTAAATGACAATGGGGAATAAAAGGAAGGTCTCCTAAATTTGTACGTGGGATTCCAGAAATCATACTGGAAAGATTAGGCTGCTCTGTGTAGGAACAGTCTTTACTTTGATCAGCATAATCTCAGCTCACTTTAATCCAATTTTGTTGTTGTTTTCAATTGTCTACAGATTTATTAGTTAGAATAAAATATATACAGCTTCCTTAAGAAGCATAAACTTTCTAAGTTTTATGTAAACATAGTTTTCTGAGTCAAAGGTTTTGTTTTCTACCTAGAAAATGAACATATAGACATTAATATGAAATTTTAAAGGTTGAGCCTTTATACTGTTATGGGTACATTATTCTAATGGTATCTAGATTCATTCATTAGAGGGAAGAAGCATCCTATATATTCAGATTTGTGTTCATATATGTGAGGCTTTTTTCCTGAAATAATTTTGTTCTTTGGCTAATTCAATAAAAGCTGCATGTTTCTTTTTATTATTTGATGTTTCTTTAGAAAAACCTTGTGTTTCACAGTCTTGAGAATAACTGATTAGTATAGTCTGAGTCTTGAGTGTACCACAATGAAGTTTTATAAATGAAACAAAAAATGTGGAATTGAGCCTTACTTAAGTATATTTCTGCTAAATAGAGTATAATTATTGTGAATCAATGAATCAGACTGAATTTCCTGTGCAGTACACTGTTGCTATTATGTAGCCCATAGTGTGAGAGAAAAGGCCTGTTCTCATTGAATTGATTTGAAAGTTTTAAACATTCTTTATGTTTTTAATAGATAAGTAGAAAATTAATGGTTCAGTGGTCCATGTGTTTTCAAATATACATAGCAAATTCACTTAAACTTGGTTGCTGAAAATATTTAGAACATAACACCTCTAATCATATTCAGTGATTGTCAAAATTGATTCATAATATTCTTGAAAATGTACTCTCTGCATTATTGCTATGAAAACTATAATATACTCTCCGTACTCAGAGCTTACAGTCTAAATAACATTTTAAATACATTAAATTCTATGTGTTTATGAAGCAATAGATCACAAGGGTACTTAATAGCATTTGGATATAGAAATATATCATGTTTCATAAAATAGTTAGCAACCTAAGCCTATTTGTCACTTTTACAATTCTAAAAGTTTAGCTCCAGAATTATTATGAACAACTTAGAAAAGACATAGTACTTTGAAGTATAACTATGATTGATTAGACTAAACTAATTCCAGCACTGCATTGTATACTACTTTAATCTTTTTGAAAAGTGAATGAACAGCAGATGGCCTAATAAAGACACTCTGTGTGCTTGCCCAGTATGGATTGGCTCTGAAGGGACTGCCTTAACACTTTAGGGTCCATATATTTGCAGTACATCTGTCTTAGTCAAGGCAGATGGTTAAAGGAAAGAGAAACTTCCAAACTTTTGGATACATTCCAGTTTGGGACTGCATGTTTGGCTGAAATGTTAATAGGACCTGATTTTCACCTTTAAGTTCTTCTCAAAAAAGTACAATCTCTGATAGTTCAAAATATATTTATAAATATGACTGCTGCTGCCTCTTGCAGTTAGGTTTTTTTTTTTAATGTTGCATTATCACCCATGCTTTCTGTGTATATTCCAATTATTATTAGAATTATTTGGACCCTGCATTTTTAACTACTCATTGGATTGACCAAATGAAAGGAAAGAGAAAACGATATCATTTTACCACTTGAAAATGAAGGTCGAAGCATCATATTTTTCTTAATTTTTATGATATTTCTAATAGAATAAATACACAGGAAGAGCAATATATTTGGAATTTAAAACATAAAGTCTGCAAATGAAAAAATTTACCTTTATATCATGAAAGCTTAATTACCTATAGTCAAGGATATCTATTCATAGCATATTAATACATAAGAGCATGCTACGGATTTAAGAAAATGGAGGAATGATGAAGGGGAACGATTTGTGAAAAAAGTTCGTGTCATGCTCCTAGCACATACGTGAAACAGTTTAATTAGAAGAAAATGTTTAGGTATCTGTTTCTGTCTAGAAAACGAATGAATTTTCTGTTTAGAAAATGAATGAATTTTTTGAAACATATCTCTAACATAGTCATTTCTTGAAATAAGTTTTGCACACTCCAGTGAAACATATTTATAAAGCAACCTTTTTTTGCACTGGTTTTTGTGTCTTACAGTAATAACAAGTAGCGGCTATAGCCCCAGATCAGCGCATCAATATTCCCCACAGCTGTATCCTTCCAAGTAAGTGGTCAGTAGTCTTTCAGATTTGTTAGGATGATTTTCCAGCATTATCTTGATTAATCATGTTTATACAATATAACAACTTTAAATCAGGATATATTTATGTATATAAATGTTATAGATAGGCAGTTGAATTGACAGATACTTGGATAGATTCATTGGATAGATTAGACATTAGGTAAATACCCTTCACAGGTCTAGGAATACCCTCACTTATATCTAGACAATTGCTTTAATTCTGGATATTTATATACTTTGAGGAAAGCATCAAGCTCAAACCGGAATACACAGATTTTTTTAATGAAAATTCAAAAATGCTGACTAGTTTAAAGAAAATCTAAAACGATTACATTTTATTCAAACATCAACACTTCGTAATTTGTTCCATCATTACAATATTTTTATTGGATTTCAAGTTCTAATAAACATTTTTGAAAAATATACACTATTGCTTTTATGACTAATATAGTCAACTTTCTGAGCACAGTGGTAGAAATTTCAAGTTTAACTACATTAGGTGTATCTGAATTTGGTTGCCATCAGCCAGATGTGTCAAGATTTTGGATTCCTGATCATGTACATTTAAAAGTTATTTTCCACAGCAGCTAGAGTGTTATCCTTAAGTATAGGCTAGAGATTGGATATCCATTTTGGGAACATTCCGTAAGCTGTGGCATGATGAAGGGAATGGCATTCCATTTCTTTTCGGGAAGCTGCCTACTTTTTAATTTTTTTTAACTTTATTTATTTTTTAAGATTTCTAGTTCTCTGTAGAGAATTTTTGGTAGGGCCTTTAATGACTTTTGTAGTCATTACATAACATGGGGTCATGCATGGTAACAGGAAATATGCTCATGAGTGTACTAATTAACTGGCCTGGGCTTTACTTTCCTCATCTACATATCAGTTGGAATACTATTTCGAATGTAAGCAATATAGAACTGGAAGAGACTTTAGGTGTGATATCTAAACGAAAGTTTTCTTTTCACAGGTGAGGTGTAGACTTAGCAAGTTTAAATTATTTGTCCAAGGTAACTAGACTGGTTTGTAGCAGAGCCTGGGCTCCTGACATTCAGACTCTTGTCCTTTTCCGTATTGTTAAAATGATATTATGGATAAAGAAGAGGATTACTTCCGGGCTATTATCAGGTTTCACTGAATCTAAGCTGTCTGAATTAATATGCAGTCTTTGTTGCCACAGTAATGCTATTTTTCTGATATTTAGGCCCTATCCACACATTCTTTCTACACCAGCAGCTCAAACAATGTCTGCCTATGCAGGCCAGACTCAGTATTCGGGGATGCAGCAGCCAGCCGTCTACACAGCGTACTCACAGACAGGACAGCCCTATAGCCTGCCCACTTACGGTATTTCACATCTTCTCTCTTCTTCTTTGGTTATAAGCACGTAATCCTGCTGGCTAGTAGTTGTATAGTCTAATATATTGATATGTTACAACTCAGAGGTAAGATCACTTTACTAATGAAATGGGTTGCACATGCGTTTTCCAAACAGATCTGGGTGTGATGTTACCAGGCATCAAGACAGAGGGCGGACTCTCACAGACTCAGTCACCGTTACAGAGTGGGTGCCTCAGTTACAGCCCCGGGTTTTCTACCCCGCAGCCAGGCCAGACACCTTATTCTTACCAGATGCCAGGTAAGTACCACACAGGAAACATGTTATGTGAGAAAGAATTCTTTGAATGAGACTCCTTGGCTTCAGACTAGGAATATAAAGTCATGAGGACAGTTTTAAATCTTACCACTGCTCACACGACGTCATCAGAAAAGACAAATAACTAGGAAGAAACATGATGAAAAGAGTTCAGTATACATCAAGAAACATGACCCATATCAAAGTTAAATATTTAAGTTTAAGTTGCATAAAATTGGCAGGAAACTAAGTCTAAGCAAAGCAACCTCCAGGCCAGTCGCCACACCAGTCACATGTTTGGCATCTATTAAAGTGATTTCAAAGATTCATGACAAAACCCAGTATTTTCTTGTCGGGATTCCTTACATACGTAATGCTTTTTTGATTAAATTTAAAATTGAATTAGCACTTCTCTAAGTCCCATTTATTGTTGAATAATTGAAGATTTTTTTGTTCATTTCTAAAATCTCTCCCCTGTTAATACTATATTTCTTGAAGAGGAATATTTAGATAATTTGTACCTCCACCTGAAAAATTTTTTCTCCATATACGATCATTATTTAATTTTTCTTTTTGTTTTTGTCTCCAATTAAAAATTATTTTTGAACATTGTGTAGTAGTTGCAGAAAATATTTTAGTGACATACTAAAAACATTAAAAGGTTATTTCCTATCTGTCATTTTTTCTATATGGTTAGTCGTAGTTTGGGGGCTATATTAACATTATTTGAACCAACTAATATTGCCATTTTAGTTGACTGACTAAAATGAAATAATTACTTAGACCTTTTTGGCTGAAATGACAGGTCTCTTTTTTCCTTATAACATTGGTAGATACATCTGTGCATACATGCCTCAACCACAATAAGCCACTGTGGAAAATGCCATAGAGACATATCCATTTATTCCTCAGAATACTTTCATATCGGATATTCCAGGCCATGTCAGTTTGTGTCGATTACCTAATACTATTGCTATTCAAGACACATTGATAAAACAAGTAATCAGCTGCCTCAATAGTCTTTTATTTTATTCCTTAACAAGTACATTCCATGAGAACATTTTTTTTAATCTGTAAATTGATAGTTCACTTGTTTTTGCTCTAATTTTAAAAATAATTAAATAACTTTCAGACCTTGTCGTAAAATTTTAGAAGGTCGTCAAACCTTAGATGATTGCAGTATAAACAGTTCTGCCTTGGGTCTGAGCCCTAGCTCACAGCTTTTTTTGTTCTAAAGAAAGGACATAGAGGAACAGAAAGATGGGGAGCTGGAAGCATGAACTCTAAATGGATTCCATGTGTTTATTTCCTAAGCTAGCCCCAGCCAAATGTTTGAACTTGAGTAGTTTTTGTATGTATATGCAGTTGATATGACCACTGGAAAGTCCCAGTAGTTTCCTGGAAGTAGTCTCAGTATGGATAATATCTTATTCTTTGAGTACTTCTGTACGTGTAGACATTGACCCTTGAAGGTTAGCCAAGTCCTTGGTAAGACTGTTCCCACAAGCTCCTGTTTACCTCTATAGACTTCTAAAGAAAAGACTTTACCTGTTGTCACAAGACACAGCTAAGGACATTTTCCTTAGAATCTCTCAATTTTCAATCTCACTGCCTCAACAACAAAATTTAATATATATTTCATTGAATTCTGCAAAGTGAAATATTTTTAATATTTTTCAAGAAATATTTTTAAAATGCAATTTGTTCTTTACCTCTAGGTTCTAGCTTTGCACCATCATCTACTATTTATGCAAATAATTCAGTTTCCAACTCAACGAATTTCAGTGGTTCACAACAGGTATAGTAGCTTTTTGTGTTTATGCTTTTATATATATTTCAGATTTTTGAAGAATAGTATCAGGTTAGTAAGGTTTATGTATTTCAAATTAAGATGGCATTTCAAGGTAGTAAAAATGAGCTGTCTGGAATTCTTTGGATTTGTGTAATTCTGGATGTTTCAGTTTTCCTGATTGCTAAAGTTTTGCCCTTTAAACATTTAAGCCATGATTGTTTTAGTCATTTGACAGGAAATTACAGAATCTATTGCATATTTTCCTATTATTTTAAGCTATACTAAACATAATTTTATTTTTTCTTGATAAAACAGTTATTATGAAAATTCATAGGTTGAACTATAACCCATAATCAGATTATGATGTAGACTATAAAACACTCTTGGTCCAAAACCAAATCATTTGTTCCTAAACAAAATGCCTCTCAAGCTACTATTGGCTTTTATTTTTTAGTTCTATGATTTTTTTTTGATAACTGTTAAATTCCTACTGCCCTGACAGCTGTAATTTTTTGCTTTTGTCACCCACTACACTTGCTCCTAGAATTCCTTAGTCCTCATAGTGATGTTTGCTTAATATTTTTGTGTGTTTTGAAACCTGCGATTGTTTTTAGAATCGTGTTAGAATTATGTGTGGAACAAGCGCGGATGTGCCTGAATGAGTGAGTTAGCGTGGAACGACATGAATTTGTGATCTATTCAGAAAGTTTTGTCCCTATTTCCTGCTCCTCAGTCATGTTCAGAGTAGCTGAGGTAGAAGGGTAGCTGATTTCATGGGTAAGCAATACACTAACATAATCGCTGGACTTCTGTACATTCTAAAATATGTTACTGCATAAGTGTTTGCTCTTCGGATTTACTGAAGGAATTATATTAATTGCCTTCTCCTTTCAATTTTTATTAAGGTAACAAGAGGCAAAGAGGAAAATTTGATGATTAAACAGTGGAATAATGATATTTTTGACAGGATTAAACTGTATAGTTTGGCATTAGTTTGAAAAATGGTTTCTTAAAACAGTAAACATCAAAGTCAGTATGCATATTTTATTATAAAAAATTGAGAATTTTTGATAATCCAGGTAGCTTAATTTCACTCGCTCATTTATTAATACACCAAACATTTATTGAGCACCTGTTAGCCATTAGATTTTTCAACTGTGCATTGGAGATTCGAAGTCGGTGTTCCCTGCTCTCTGGAAGGATACAATCCTCCTGAAGACACAGACATGAAAATAATATGGACAGGGAGTGGAATATTTGGAATATAATAATAGAAATATACACTAGGCAGAGTAGTAGCATAAGGGGAAGACTGCTTTGTTCTTTGTTGGGAGGATTAAAAAAATGATTAATAAGGAGAAGAAAATTTATTGACAAACAGTTTTATATCACAAAATACATCCAGTACTAGCAGTATATTTAATTCAGTGGCCCCAATATAATATGTAATCTGTATTTTGGACCATGGTCTGAAGACTAATTGATTCTTTTAGCAAATACTCACTGAGTGCCTATTAGATATTAGGAACTGGTCTGTATCCTGGGGAGCTGAAGGTAGGAGCAGCGTGAATGGAACCTGTTTCTTGCTTTAGGGAGCTTTCTGTCTACTGAGAAAAGCAGACAATAAACCAGTAAACACCTGAGTAAATATAGAATTGGAAAGCATGAAGGGAGAGAACAGGGTCCTATTAAAAATATTATGAGAAGGCTAATTTTGAGTAAGGGGGATTTTGTGGAAGGCTTCTCCATGGAAATGACATTTAGGCCAAGTCTTCCAAAAGTTAGGTGAAGACTGAGGGCAAGGGTGTTCAGGCATAGAAAGCAGCATGTATCACATCCCTGAGGGGTGAAAATCGTGGGGTGTCAGTGAACTCAAAGAAGGCTGGAGTTTAGTTTGCACCTGAGGGGCAGGTGGGGAAACATCCATTTATGGAGGTGGGCTGCGGCCTGCTCATGTAGGGCCCTGTGGCTTATAATAAGGAACTTCAATTCTATTCCAAGCCCAAAGGGAAGCTATTAAAGAATTTTTTAGCAGGAGAATAGCATCATGTAATTTATTTTTGAAAAATATTACTGTGGCTTCAGAGACTTTGGAAAAAGCCAAAAATGGAAATGAGGAGAGCAGTTAGAAAACTGGTACATTGGCTACAGCAGGCAGTGAAGGTAGCTTGGACAAGGTGATAAGAGTGGAGATGAAGAGTAGGGGGAATCTTTGAGATATACTTGAGTGCAAAAAGACACTATAATCACTGGAAGCTGGTAGACTGGACCTTTCCAGTGAGTAACTTCATCTTCCTCTCCGGGCACTGGCAGCCCAGTGGAGAGCTTCCCACACAGATAGATGCTGGAGTCAGTCTCTCTGGCTTCCAGTTTGAGCCCTGAAACTTGCTGTCTGACTTTGGGCAAATCTCTTTAAACACTCTGTGCCTTTATCCCTTTACTTCAGTGTAAAATAGAGATAGTAATAATACTGCATAGGAGGTTGTGAGATTTCAATGAGTAAATCTACTAAAGGCCTTAGAGGAGTGCCTGACACAAAGTAAGCACTGTGTTAATATTTGTGATCCATGTTTTACTCTGAGAAAAATACGTTACTAGGAATTTTGTCCAAATACTGCCAAGAGTTTTCTGTTTTTTTGTTTGTTTGTTTGTTTTGTTTTTGACTCTCAGGTAATAGTAGGGAACATCAGATCCTGAAATTAACAGACAAACAGAATTTTCATTTTCTGCCATACTGCTTAACCCTTTCTGATGATACATGTATTTGCTTATACGTATATTTACGAACGCAGAGAATTTCCTCTTTTGGAAACCACATCAACCATGGATCTTTGTTTCCCTTAGAAATGTGCATTAGGGAATCTTCATCCTGACCAAGGATTTGTCATCACTGATAACAGTTGGCTAAAACATGTCAGATATATTAAACACCAACTATTGCAACAAATACTTATTCCTTATCTTAATACGTAAAAGGATTTTGAAGGATTATTTACATCATTTTAAGATTATTTAAAAAATTTTTAATAAAAAGCAGGTGAAAGGAATTGACCCAATGGCTTTCTTTTCTCTCTAACAAATGATGCAAACTAAATATATGAAAGCCTCACCAAAGACTTTAGGTCAAGGCCTCAGGTGGCATGTAGCCTGTGAGAAGCTGGGTAAGAATATCTTTTATTCATTTTCTTTTCTCTACTGTTTACCTCCTGCCAAGAAAACAAAATTATCAAGAGTAGCCTAAAAGGGAACAAAAATCACAATAATGCAGCCCAAGGTCTGTATGGAAGTGGGGAGAGGGGTACACCTCCTCCTTCCTGGTGTTATTAGAAGATGAGAATGAATGCTGTGAATATGAACACCTCCTTCTCTCCTCTTCAAATGCATAAGACCTGAGGATGTACATCCTTGGAAATGTAATTCTGGGGGGAAAGTGACGCATATACAACCTTTAAACAGATTAAAATTTGTGTACTGGACCTGGTTTGCAAGACCCGCAAGGTATTTCATTACTATGTGCGTGTAGGAGATGCCCGCAGAACGGTCTCTGCTTATTAGGATCACCTCAAAGCTGGGGACTCCAGAACCAGTGGAGCCAGATACTAATCTTTCCATTGCCATTGTGATTGCTTTTCTTTGGAGTATACTAGAGGGTAATCTGTCTTTCAAACACACACACATGTCAATTATTATTTCAGGATTATCCATCCTACGCAGCCTTTGGCCAAAACCAGTATGCACAGTATTACTCTGCATCAACATATGGAGCATATATGACATCAAATAACACAGCTGATGGCACGTCCTCCTCGACCTCAACCTACCAGTTGCAGGAATCTCTCACAGGACTGACTAGCCAACCAGGTACAGATCTTCATCCAGGTGAAATACTTTTTATATGTTTTGCTGTATCTAATAATATGGAGAAAAATGGGCATTTTACAAACAAGGCTGAAAGCTTCCAGATAATTATGGTGATGTTTAATCTGTGCTAGTACCACTGATTTAGGTGAGGCTTTTCTGGCATTCCAGAAACCTTTCTTTTAGGTGTGGGATAGTTAGGAGATTTTAATATCAAATGACAGAATACATATGAATATGGAGATAAAAGGTAAGCGGATCATTTACCAGACTAATTATTTCATGGAGATCTTGACAACATAGAAAAGTTGTAATATTATCTTCTTTGGTGATATTTCCTTTATGCTTGAGAAACTGTATAACTTTTTCACCTTACGAGTTATCAGTAGCCCCAGCCAGTGAACATTTCCCACATTCCTAGGATTTTTCGGATCATTGGTAGGTAGTTTAATATCTTTGATCAACACATATTTAAAATCCATCATAGTCTTCATTGCCAGAAGCTTGTCTGTATTCTTATTAGAATTGTATTTGCTGACACATATTTAACACAGCTGAAGAGCTTAAAGTGAAAAGCAAGTTTAATAGAGATTCATTGTAACCCCAATCAAAATTCCAGCAGGATCTTTCGGAGAAATTATCAAGATGATTCTAAAATTACAAGGAAAGACAAAGGAACTAGAATAGCCAAATAATTTTGAATTATATAAGAACAAAGTTTGAGGACTCACATTGCCTGATTTCAAAATTTATAAAATATAATAATCAAGAATGTTTGGTATTGGCAAAAATATTAGATACATAGAGCAATGGAATAGAATAAAGAGTCCAGAAATATACATATTTCTGGATATATTTTGTATATGTTGTATATAATATATACAACATATACAATGATACAACATATACTAAAAGTTTGATTTTTGACAAAGGTGCAAAGGCAATTAGAGAGAATGAATAGTTTTTCAGAAAATGGTGCTGGAACACTGACATCCATATGCAAAACAAAACAAAACAAAACATAAAACAGAATCTTGACTTGTAACTCATACCATATACAAAACATGTTAAAACTAAAACTTCTAGAAGAAAACATGGAGAAACTCTTTGTGGCCTTGGGTTACATAAAAATTTAATAGATACCACGCTAAAAACACAATCCATAAAAGAAAAGAAAAGCTAAATTAGACTTCATAAAACAAAGAACTTCTGCTCCTCAAAAGACACCATCACAAGAGTAGAAAGACACGCCACAGATTGGGAAAAAATACTTGCAAAACACATATCTGATAAAGCACTTGTATCCAGAATATATAAAGAACTATCAAAACTCAATAAGAAAATCAAAGTTAAGAAATTTTTTGTTTTTGTAAATACCATTTAGTATGTTCAAGAATATTTTTCTGACTTCCAGTTATTTGCAAGATCCAAACTCATCCCTGCTTCTTTTTTGTCCTGCTTTGGAAGGGCAAGAAAATAGGGACACATGGTCACAATACTGTAAATTCTTTCTAACCGGACCAGTGGTTCCAAGAAGACAAAAAGCCCATTAAACAATTATTCATTGAGTGCCTGTTAGGTACCAGGCACTGCTGGTATTTCAGCAGTGAATATGCTCTCTGCATACATTTAACTTCATTTAGCTTCCATTTAACAAGCAAGACAAGATCGAGCAAATAATTAAAATAGTATGAATGTTGAGAAAAGGAAAATGCTAGATAACGTGGGGAATATTAACGAGAAAACTAATTTGAACATGAAGAAGTGACAACGAAACATACTTTTGCGATACGCGGGCCCCTCACTGTTGTGGCCTCTCCCGTTGCGGAGCACAGGCTCCGGACGCGCAGGCTCAGCGGCCATGGCTCACAGGCCCAGCCGCTCCGCGGCACGTGGGATCCTCCCGGACCGGGGCACGAACCCGCGTCCCCTACATCGGCAGGCAGACTCTCAACCACTGCGCCACCAGGGAAGCCCGACAATGAAACATACTTTAAGCGACAGAGAAAATGCAATTATATTCATGAAATGGCAACATTCTTTCTTTTTGGTTCACTGTTATATAACAACAAGGTCCTACTGTATAGCACAGGGAACTATATTCAATATCCTGTGATAAACCATAATGGAAGAGAATATTTAAAAAAAGAATCTCAAAATATTGTCTCTAATCTAACTATAGACCGAAGGGAAAATTGTTAATAGGTGTACTAGACTTTGATGCCCCTACTACCAGTTTCTTTCCCCTTATCTTCTTTTTAGACCCTCCCTCCTGTAAACACATAGCCCCTTTGAACCTCTAGTCCTCATTCCCTTTTTAGTCGTTCCACCTAACCTCCCCCTCTCTTAGCAGCCATATCTTATGTAGGGCCAGGATGAAGGGAAGGCAAGAGTTGCCTGGGGTGCAGAATGTAAGGGGGCGTTCATTCTCACAGCCCTTAAATTTTACACCCTTGGCACACTACCTGCCTTAACTTCCGCCCAGCCTAAATCCCATGTTCCAATTCTGTCCTGATCCTCTTTGAGTAAACACTTACATTTCATTAAGAATCTTATCTTAATTTAAAGAATGAGTGATTTCAGAATCCTTGCTTACAAGTGGTGGAAGCACTTTAGCTGGGGAGATATTTGACGTTCTCGTCACACTGCGAAAGGTGTTTCTCACTGGTGAATGCACGGGGAAAACAAAATAGAATGACTGTGTTCAGAAGCAAAACCACAGACTAAATATTTGATCATCGAGATATCAGAGACAGAGTGACAGGACTGGCAAAGTGTTTTGGAATTTACTAGAATTGAGCTACCAGGAATGAAAACCATTCAAATACCCCAAAATGGTTTATGCTGCGTAGAACTTTGGGTGGAAGATTGGTTTTAACCTAATTTCAGTATGACCACAAGAGTTTCTATGCACGAAAGACACAGATGGGTACTCTCTATTAGCTAAAGAATAATCAACTTTCAGAATAGCTATTTTATTTACATTAAAAATACTAAACGCAGACATGTAGATATTCTGAGTATGTGACTTTGAATGTAACACATTCATATGTGACATTCTCATATTCAGTATCAGAATGCTGCAATTTCTTCAGCTTTCCACTGGTTGCTAATACCAACGAATACAGTTTGACATAATTGTCAGATCTTACGAGACTTTCCATTGAATTTAAAGAAGAAATTATTTCTACTTGTACCCATATTATTCTCTCAACCAAAATCATAACAATACACGTGTCTAGATCTTTAAGGAACTCTGTGACCTCAGACCTTCGGTCAAGACAGTTTTAAGTTTGATTTTTGCCTTTGCAGGTCTGGCATGCATCCAAAAAGTAAACAAGTTCATAACTATGGGATTTTTCTTTATTATTGATGAAATTTGAGGTATTTTGTTTAAGGGTATAAAGAGTATTTTCCACTGACTGGCTCTGCGTTTGGACTTAAAGCAGAGACCTAACAGTTAAATCCACAGTTTGTCATAAATCATTCACTGTTGACTTCTCCCGTGTTTAAAATGGAAACATACTTTATGTTCAATAAGAGACAGCTGGTTGCTCTGATTTAGCGATAAACCTAATGAAATAAAGTTGGATCTAAATATCCAAAACTTAGAAGGTGCAGTTATTCATTACGGTACTGATTAAAAGATAATTATTCAGTCATGTATAGTGTTAGCCCAGGAAAAAGCCTAGGGCAATGGGTAATGACTGATGTTATTTGGAAATTACAAATAGCATTCAGTCATTTATTTTACCTTATTAGGTAATTTGACAATGTATTTAAAGAAACATTACCATGCTGATTAAGAACAGGTATTTTAGTTCATTATCTTTGAAAAGATCTTTCTTTGCCTTTAACATAAAGGTTATCTTAGGTATATTATATTTTTGATTCGCATTCCGAATGTTTGATGACTGATAGCACATTAAGCTTAGTGATATTTTTATAGCTCCTTTTTAAAATTTTAAACGTCTTTAAAATTAAATATAACTAGCAATTTGTAACAACATTCTGTAGTCTGAGACCTTGGCAAACATTTCAGATACATTAGCTAATTAAACTTTACAAGTGTTGCAGAAAAGTAAAGGATATGGTAAGATCACTCTTTGAAAAGAAGCCAGTTTCTTAGGCAGAACTCAGTAGACTTTCTAGGCCTCATGGCATTTCACATGAGGACAGGAAGGAAAGCAAAGTACTAATTCAGTTCATTGAAGGAACAAGAGGACTTAAACGGAAAGGACTGACCACATTTAACTTCTCTGCCAATTTGCATTTTCCCTACCTGCAGCATTACTGTACCCTAGTGCAATTACCTGAGTGAAATTGACAGAGGCACTGGAATTAACAGCTTTCTCCTTTTAAAAACAAATGTCAACAAATGTTTAATGACCAGTTGAGCTCAAGTTCCTGATTTTGCCCTTTATCAGAAGAAAGGCTAGAACCTTCAAAAGATATGGAGGTCAGTTCATTTCCATCTGGGTGGTTGCTGTAGGAGCCCAAATACAGCACATGGCCTCTTAAGGACCTGCTCTTTTACTCTGATGTTCTTCAGATGAATTCCTTGGCCCTCACTCTCACAGAAATTGTGTAAAGTCTGTGTAACTCTTTTGATTAGTAGAAACAGATATACATTTGACCTTTTTGTAACCTGGACAGACTGGTGCTATTTGGGAGAGGAAGTATTACCTAGTGGTTAAAGCGGGAGTTCTGGAACCATATCAACATTTCACATACAGGCTATTTCATCTTGGTTAGTTAATTGAGTCCCACATGTCTCCAGTTCTCCCATTATTAAAAGAGGCTAATAAAGGAACAAATTCACTGGGTAGAAGTGAAGTTTAAGTCATATATATGTGTGTGTGTGTGTGTGTGTGTGTGTGTGTGTGTGTGTGTGTGTGTGTGTGGAAAGAATGTTTCACAGTAAAGAGCTCTGACAAATCAATAAGAAAAAGATAACCCAATTTTTTTAAATTAGTCAAAGATTTAAACAGTTACTTCATAAAAAGTAGATACCAAATGAGTAAGAAACAAAGTATTCTACATCATTACTCATCAAGAAAATGCTAATTAAAACTACAATAAGATACTACCAACCCCTACAATCGCTAATATAAAAAAGACTAGCAATACCAAGTATTGGTGAGGATGTAGAGCAACTAGAACTCTCATTGCTAGTAAGAGAGTGAATTAATACAACAGCTTTGGAAAAGAGTGCTCAGTGTCTACTGAAGGTAAACATATTCCTTCCATTTGACCCAGCACTCCCTCTGCCAGGTGTATACATATAGGCATATGCTTAGTATATACATATAGGGATATGCTAGGAAGGGGAGCTTATGCCCACAGGTATAAACAAGAATGTTTATAACAGCTTTATTCATAGTTGCCTAAAACTACAAATAACCCAAATGTTCATCAACAGAATGTATAAAGCATAGTGTACATATGTCATGAAGTTCCAGCCACATTAAGGAAAAAGCAAACAACTGCTCCAGGCTACAATGTGGGTGAATCTCAGACATAATGAGCGGCGACTCTAGCCAAACACGTATTCCAATAAGCTTATTGAGACCCAGACACTTCCTATGACCAGTCTTTTCCCTTCCTCCTTCTACTCTTTTCACTCCCTTGTTGTGATAGCTGCTGACTTCCAGTTCATTCGAGTAGCTGAGTTGTTCCTGCCAAACCCCGTCTTTATGGATCCAGTCAACCATCAACCACCCATAACTGAGCACAGTAACTTTGGGATTTTGCAAGATTTTGTCTATTCACCTCTTGCACTGTGGCAAGAACAAAGCTGCCTGATGAGAGTTAACTCCTGAAAATTGATCTATCATGGATAGAAAGATAGGTCTTAGGGAATGTCAACCAAAAAAATCTTATAAGCTTAATAAATGTGTGTTAATTTGAATCAATATTTTATCTGAAAAAGAACATTTGACTGGCAGGACATAGTAACCTTAGAAAAATTCTGTTTTATAAAAATAATTGAAAATAGAAAACATTTTGTGTGATATTTTTAAAAAGTAGATGTGTGTTTAAGTACCCAAATCCCCATCTAACGCCTATACACGTAAGCTGAAACCTGATTTACTATGACATAGGGCTGTATTCAGCATCGTAACTCAAGATCCTTTTATTATGCTTTCTACTCTCATGCATTCGATAGCAGACACCCATGCAATGAACTGTGCTAGCAATGTTTTAAGAGCAAATAATATTTGGAACACAGACATTTTTTTTGATGCTGTCCTGACATGCACAGATGTTTCCCAAAGAAAACATTTGACCGTTAGAAATTATTAGAGCTTAGCTATGTAAACACTGTTTACCTAAAACATCTCAGAAAAAATGTTACCTAAGTGTGATCTAGTTTGTTCAGATGTGTTTATTTAGATTAATAACTGCTTGGCTGTCCTCATAATTATTTTACTTTAATTTTTATGATAAAGCATGAGAGTCATAACATCTTTACTTTTAAAAATTGGGTAACTTTAATATGGTTTGCCACTGGACTCTCCTAGACATTTTAACATTATGCATATGATTTCAGTTAAACATAAATCAGATTTATCTCAGTAATACAAAAAGATAGCTGCTATTACCCAGGCTTTAGTATACAAAGAAACTGAGATTCAGAGAGACTGAGTAAAATGCTTGAAGTCATATAGTAAGTCCAACTCTTGTTACTTGTGAAGTTTTACTGCACCTCACTGTCACCTTGGTGGGTTTATCTTAACACCCTCTCCTACAGACTTGCCACTGCTCTGTACTCTCCACCTCATAAGATGCTGCATCGCTAGCTTTAGACGTGTCAGACTTTTGGGTATCTGTGGGACATGCAGAACCCAATTAAACCTAAAGTCTGAAACTTAAGATTTGACTTGGTATGCTGTATGGGTCATCACGTAGAAAGTGACTGACCTATGAGAGGGTTAGATTGCCCACATGGTGTGGAGTGGGGAAAATGATCAAAGGAGACAAATGTGCCGTCCAGTACTGTAGCCGCTGACTTCAGTCTGTACTAGCCCCATTACAAGGACTTAATAGGCACGTGTGGCTAGTACAGACTGAAGTCAGCTCTAACTGTCATATACACACAGGATTTCGAAGACTTAGCATGAAAACGAGATTATGTAAAACATGTCATTTTTATATTTATTATATGCTGAAATGATAATATTTTGGATATATTAGAGCAATTAGCATATAGGAATGAAATTAGTTTTACATGTTTCTTTTTACCTTTTTTAATGCGGCTTCTAGAACATTTAAAATTATATGTATGCGTGGTTACATTCGTGGCTCACTTTGTATTTCTGTTGGACAGCACTGGTACGCGCTGTTCTTTTAAGACGGGTCCTTTAAAAAGAAAAGATAGCAAACAGATAGCTTCTAGATAGAAATGCAAGGTCAAAGGGAAGGACTTTTCAACTTGTCTGTGTGCCCCCCGCCCCCAGAAACGGGAGAGGTTGAAGGGAAGGTAAGAGAGAGTTTGAGTAGTGGAGCATGATTATTCTCTAATAGGTGAGGCACGGAAGTCATATTTGCAGGGGGAGGGATGGCATCTCATCCTCAGACATAAGGAGGTGACAACAGATCTAAATTTAGATAAATACATAGGTGGGGATAGAGATGGGAAGTTGAGGGCATCTGGAGTACAAAAGGTCTTCAGGTTTAATAGATCACATAGATCGAAACTAGGAGAAACCTCTGTGACCTGCAAAATTTTGACTGAATTAGAATTTTGCGTATTTGTGATTATAAATCTTTCTTGTCATAAGGAATTTTCTGTTGTAGGATTTGTTAAAATCATTAATCATGAAGACTCATACCTGATCTAAAAATGAAGTGCTGTCCTTGACAGTATTCATGTTATTCACAGGAGAGTTTGATACCGTGCAGAGCCCCTCCACACCCATCAAAGATCTTGATGAGAGAACGTGCAGGAGTTCTGGGTCAAAGTCCCGAGGAAGAGGCCGGAAAAGTAATCCCTCCCCGCCTCCCGACAGTGACCTGGAGGTATGCTGACTTCTCCTTAAAAGGTGTAATGTGATGTTTCATTTTATTGAATGATATATTCTATACCGTACAGTTCTGTAAAGTTTCAGACTTAAAAGAAAAAGATACATCATGAAATGAGTGGACCTACTATGAAGTAGGCATTTCACAGCTCTGAAATTGGAGATTTCGTCCATTATAATGGCAAAACTAAAAACAATAACAACTTAAAAATCATAATGCTCTATAAATTCTAGGCCAGAGATAGTTGCATCTCTTGATCCAAAAGACACAAACAGAAGGCACAAGCAGAAATTTGAAAAATAAAGCCATTGTTTGTGGAGTATTTATCTGAGAAGCACTCTTTCTGGGAGTACTAGGGTCATGAAAGATGTTTACATGGGTCAATAAATATTAAAAGGTAAAATTAATCTGTATGGAGGAAAAAAGGTGTCATCAGAAAATAAGAAAAATTCCAATCATTTGATACATATGTTAAAATTTTTATACCTGTAAAAATTTCCGTGTGTCATTGTTTCCAGTTGGGACAGATCTTTTGAGATATATCCATACTAAGCAGGTTGTTTTTATTATGAAACATCAGAAGAAACTATTCTTAACCGTAATGTGTTACTTCTTACACAGCTGCATATTTTAACTGCGAAAAAAGGTTAAATCTCCAGATTCAGTAAAGTCAAGTAATAGCCCTTGTATCTCTTCATAAGAGATCATTTCCTTGATGCGAACAACAGTAGTAGATTCAAATGCCTTCAAGAACCCAGCAGGTGATATGAATGAGTGAACTGGGCTAGGGGGCCAGCAGACTGGGAAGAGTGGGGAGCACCGGCCCAGTCTACAGGGACCCCTGCATCATTGCCACATGGACTGTCAGCCACCATTGCCACAAACTGGAAGTTTGTCTACTGCAGTCAAAACCCTGAACTTTGTGTGAAATCTTCTAATCTGGACATTTTAATCAATAATTTGAAACCGTTCAAAACACCGTGCAGGCCAAACAACCCGCCTTATGACTTAATCTGACCCAAGGGTCCACACGTTACAATTTCTATTTAGGGATTGTTCATTGATTCTTTAAAATATTTTTTAAAATATAATTCTTTGCATGAATTACAAAACTTCATGAATTCATGAGACATAAAATTTTATAAGAGCACACTTCTATCATAAAGTCCAAACGTGTCTTTTGGGTATTAACTGCAAGTACATATTTGAATGAATTCATTCAGATTAGGACATCACATTTTTAAGCCTTATTATTTTTGTCACTCTTGTTCCTCAAGTTTTACAGGGGTTAGATTTGACAAATTTGGAGGAAAAATTAATGGAGTAGCATAGATTTCCATATAATGGTATCCAGATTATATCCAACAATAAAATGAGAGGTCTTCTACTTGTAAAGAGATTTCTGTTTCCTTAGAACTTGATAATTCTTCGATATTTATCTTTTTTCTCCAGCGTGTGTTTGTGTGGGACTTGGATGAAACCATCATTGTTTTCCACTCACTGCTCACGGGATCTTATGCCCAGAAGTATGGCAAGGTAAGAAATCAAGAAATTTTACCCCAAGACACCTTGTTAGAATTTTATTTTAAATAAAATCAAAAGCCATTTAAAAATACCTTGTAGTGTTTTTATTGCAGTCTGTCAAGTCTGCTCTTAATTATTTATTTCCAGTGGCTCATTGTTCTTTAATGTGAACTGGCAAATTTTACAGAACTTAATTAGAAATCATATTCTTTTTCCTTTCTTCATAATAACTTTGAATTTTCTACATGAAAAACCAAGCTTATTACCCTCACATAATTATTTTAGAAAATGTTTTTGTAAATTGAAATGGACTTTAAACATTATAATACGTATATTATTGTCTAATAAGGGAACCTTAAGAAATTGTTTGGATTAATTTGTTGCACCAGATGTTGCTATAGAATGCCATTTGAAATAAGGAAGTAATCTTTTGTCTGACAGATCCTTTGCATTTATAAATATAAGTATTTTTTGGTAACTTTGAGGAAGCATATTATAGAGACTGGGAATAATACCCCGTCACACATACAAATCCAGAGGCAGATGTTCTCATTACTTTCCTTTGTCTCTTGCCATTATTTTCATAGTCAGTTTGCTTCTTGTAACAGTGTTGTTATACACGTGGGTGAGTCTGTTTCAAAGAGTGATGCACCTGCAACAGGTTTTTCAGCTAGAAACACAGTTGCAGAGGCCATTTGAGTCTTTGATTCTGTAGGACTCACAGTCTAACCAGAGTCAATTCACAACATGTTGGCCTGCCTTCAATTACTGTATTCAAAGTTGTATCTAACTTCGGTTCCTTTTCATATGACACTTACAGAAGTGTCTCCCTTCATCTTTATAGTGTCACATTATTTCATAGGGTCTCACGTTAGCTCAACATGCAGTTTTTAACATCTTCTAGACTAGTTGTGATGAATTAATTGCACTCAAGCATTTCCTCCTAAATTGCGCTCTTGGTGAATTTGCATTGCATTTGATTCTTAGTATAAGTAATGAAAGTTGCTAAACATATGAAAGGTAACAATTTTATTTAGTGACCATTCAGAAAAAAGGAGTCTTAGCTCCTTTACCACAATCATCATCATCTAAAACAGTGATCTCCAAAGCAGGATGTATGCGTATGTGCCAGATATACACAAGGTGCTTCACTGAGATAAGGAGAGAAAATAACACATTTATACCCGCAATCTCTATTCTTATCTGTTTCAATACATGTAAATGATTATAACTTAAAGAATATGTATGTAATTTATAAATAACTATACATAAATTTGTGGTACACACTCAAAATTCTATTACTGACAGAGCATACAGTCTAAAAAGTTTCCAGATAATAATCTAAAGCATTTTCTTCTGAAATAATTTTGGCTTATGTGGAATACACAGTAATCCTATTGAACTGACTACAGTATTTTTGTGCAAATTTTCATATTAGATAAATGTTTAAAATAAACAGCCTAACTTGAACACACAAATCCAAATAAAAGTCCCCTTCAAAATAGTCACCATTGGAGGCTATACCTAAATATCCCTGTTGCTTCCATTATGCCAAACCAGTGGTGCGACTCATCTTTCGGAATTACCTTTAGATTTTTAAAATATTTTCTGACTTCAAATCTTCATCCTTTTGTGGTAATTGTGATATTTGGAAGTAAAAGGATGATTTGAACCCAAGACGATAAATAAAGAGCATGGTCAAAATGTCACTATATATATATATATATATATATATATATATATATATAT